TTCCCCCAATTCCCCAATAAAATCTTAAAAAAAAAAAAACCAAGCCAGTGTTGAAGTAGGTTGCTTGCTATTTCCGGTCTAACCTTTCCAGTGCCCCCGCCCCCAAACTCCACACAGCCCCTTCAGTGTATGGCATGGTGTTTACGGATATACAGAACTGGGGCCATATTGAGTGCTGTTCTGAACACCAGCCCCCTCCCCCCCATCAGGTCTTATCATTGCAGCTTTATCTTCATGACTCAAAACATCGTTTAGTCAGTGTGATACCAGCACTTGAATTAATTGACATTGTGCATAATTTTGCAGAGGAGGAGTCCTTGTATTCCCAAAGATGTTTGTTTGTTTTGTTCTGTTTTTAAGAGGTGGGTCTTCCCAGGACCTATCTTTCATTCATCCAGAAACAAATGCCAAGAAGGTAGTGCTCATAAAGCTAACAAGTTAGATGAGCTCTTCTGTCCTTGCCTCTCCCCCCATCCCCCGCCCCATGATGTGCTGAGTATGGTGAATATTTATTATGATTTCATAAAATCATGATTTTTCTAATTCTGTTGTTGTGTTTATTATGTGTCAGATGAAATGTGACTAATGTTTTTCTTTCTCTGAGAAGCATCCTCACAATTCCACGGTATTCCTAAAGACCTGTGTTTCTGAAGCATTGACCTTTTGAGTTGCCTTTCTTTCTTGAGCCAACATTTTGTGCTTCAGATTCTTTTTATCTTTTGGGGACCACCCTTCAACACAACGTAAGTCCTGTGGTTAGAAGGAAAAAGAGTGTGCAGTAGCCTCAATTATATTTCACGGCATCTACCCAAGTGGTTAATATGGAAATGTAATTCCTGCTAAGTTGTGACTCACTTGTCTTTAAAACCACGCAAATGACTGTGCTTGTTAAGAATAGACAACTCAAGCCTTGTCTTCCTTAAGTCCTTTTAAAATCGCTCTTCCTTTGGATTCTAGCAGAGGCTGTTAGGAATCCATAATTACAGGCTTTCTCTTCTGAAGTATGAATGTGTAAGAAAAAAAATAGATTCTTTCGTTGTCTGAGGGACTTTTAGACATGAAGAATACACAAAAGTATATGTATTTTGCTTAATGATCACTTCATTAAATTTATACAGAAATTTAGGAACCCCAATTTTTCTTGAGCATTTAAAAATTAATTCCAAAATCGACTAATGAAGTTTTCTGAAAAATTTTAAACTATGAGTATATATTTAGTATGCATAAGCCTTTCGAAATCTTGAAACAGCTGACAAAAGACATAGAATCTTAATTCTAGAGCTTTCATTTCTTCGTAATGAGGGATTTTGTTAATGCAATTAACTCGTCTCTTCAGGACTTTTGAGTAATTGATGTTTTAAAATGCAGTGTTGAATTGTCTCTGTTTCTTAGTTATTGTTTATGGCCACCATGTCACCTACCTGGTTATTATTTGTGCTCACCATACATCCTATTGTGCTAATTAATAAAGCCACCCTTTTTTTATTTTAGTAACTTCTGCCAGGATCATTTGGCCGAGTTACAATTACATGTGTTTATTCTTGAATACTTTACCCAGATAGCAATAACTATATGTGTAAATATTATCAACAGGCATAATTATTAGAAGTAAAATAGGACGCTCCCCTACTTACTAAAAAAATAAACTTGTATCACAGCCTACATTTGTATGCCTACCTTGCTGTGTTTGTATTAGATGTTCAAAATCTCACAATTTGACCAATAGGAAGTCCCTTTATATTGTCAATGTCCTTTTATGACTGACATTTCTAAAAGCATCTGTGCTATCTAAAAACAACAGCATGTTTCTGACCCATTTTGATTTGTTTTTCTGCCTCAAATCGTGGAATCAGCTACCCCCTCTATTTCCTTTAGAGGCCAAACTCGGGTCTCAGGGATGCAGAGGAGTCAGCAGCGGGCAAAAGTACTGCCACTGCTGTTGGGTCCCTTGTAGTTTCAGAGCTGAAAATGTTTGATGTCCTGAGGTCACATTATTTTATCCTGTTGTGACCTTCTTTTCTTATAAAATGGGATTTCACAACAACTAAGACTTATGTGTTTTTAACATGTGTATCCAGGAAGCACATAGGTCTCAAAAATCATGTATCTGGTCTAGAAAAGGAAGTGTAAAAAGAATCTTTAATTCTGAGTCCACATGTCAGAATATTTTTATTTCAGGCCTTGAAAACATTTTAATAATATAAAATTATTTAAACACAATAAAAGCTATGTCTAATTGTTTTGGTGAGTGGACCAAACCACATATTTAATTCTATTATAACTATATAAAAGAATTGAGTTTTCTGACACTGTAAAAGATATACTCTTCAGTGTATATGTGGTATTCTAAAATTTATAATAGGGATTTTATTATAATTTTTAGTGTCTTCTTGGAAATACAGACAAAACAGCATATTATTCTGGTATCTTTAACTCTTTGGCTGAATAAACAAAACTAAACTTTTTGTGAAGGTATACCAAAACTTTAGTAATAGAGACCTTTTGTTGGTTGACAAGTTTTAATTACAACAAACTACATATTCTTTATATGTGTATTGTACTTGATTTCCATGCCTTCCCCAAGTACTAACCCTGCCTGCCTATACCTGCTGCAATTACTGGAATACCAGTTCCATCACAAATTTAGGTCAACCACAAGGAGGATCCCTAAATATCTGTTAGCCAATCCACATTTGGGAGTTCAGACCAACCTGCCCTGTACGTCTAGGTCACTCGGGACTACCCAGAAGCAGGTTGACCTTTCAGATGCAGCTTATCAAGTTCCGAATTTAACAAATGCACAATGGGGAAAGCTAAGCTAGTCCGTATTCCTCAGTGTTCAGAATGCCATCGTCTGTGTCTGCATTCCAGAAAGACAAAAGAAGGCCCTTGGTTCACATTAATCCTCATTCCAATAGGGGTTTTGCTGTCTGTGTTCCATCTTGCAGGTGGCACAGCCCCCTACATATATGGGGAGCCGTCACCCACACTGTCACTCAGCACACAGAGGAAGCTGTGGTAACTGCCCCTTATGACACACTCTTCAGTTCTTATAGCAGTTCCACTGTCTCCCCTCTTAAAGGTTTAAAAATGCATCTGAAGGTAATATTTGTAAATGTGAACTTAACAGAAATATTCAATTAGGCTTAACCAAATGGTTGCTGTATCTAATACTCCAATGCAAGACATAGTCCAAGAAGGGAAGTAAAATATATGCTGGGACTGATCTCACAAAGTGGGGTGCAAGTTATTTATCTTGTGAGCACAGATGGTTTTTAGGCCACTCTATGTTTGGTTGGGACCTTAAACCTTGGCCGAGATGAACCACCAGAAAACAAGCATTTTTATGTGGGCATAAACTTGATTGAATTGAGGACTTTGGTGAAAAACCAAGCCAGGGCCGGCTGAGTGGCACGTTGGTTAAGAACTGGCTTGGGATGCCAGAGGGCCCCGGTTTGGATCCCACATATGAGGACCAGTGACACTGCCCTCTACAGCTAGGATGCTGAACAGCTCGACCTGGAGCTGGGCTGCCATGGGTCGCCGGCAACAGCATGGGCTGCAGTCCCCTGCTGCAGTGGGTTGCCATGGGCTACTGTGTGTAGCTGGCAGCCAGCAGCCGCCATGAGCGGCCGTCCAGAAGCCGGCGACTGATCTGCCTCGACCGGGAAGAGCGCAATGATGGTGCCAGGTTTGGCCAGTGAAGCAACATCCTCCACAACTAGACTGAAGAACAAAACAACAGCAACTTGTCTGTTCCCCTTTCCCCCAATTCCCCAATAAAATCTTAAAAAAAAAAAAACCAAGCCAGTGTTGAAGTAGGTTGCTTGCTATTTCCGGTCTAACCTTTCCAGTGCCTACTGATCCATAAAGGAAATTGGGTAACAGCAGAATGGGGAATGAGGCGAATTGAGTTCTAGACCTGAATGATCACTAGCCGCAGGGTGATCTCGCTGTCTTCAATGGTCTGATCCGTAAAAGCAAAGGAGGAGGACGCGTTTCTGATTCAGGTGTTTCTGTGATTCAGGTGTTCCTGAGTTACTAAAAAGGAAAACTTCAGAGGCTAGCTGAAATAGACGTGGGTTTACTGTAAGGACACAGCAGGGAAGTCTCATTAAGGGCAGGAAATGACGTCTAACCAGGCTACATGGCTCTCGAAATGGAAAGCTCTCAGCCTCTCCAAGGTCCCTTGCTGCTTTTCTTGGGTTTGCTCCCATTCACTGCCTCTCTCCACTGTCCTGCTTTCTGTGCGCACTCTAGGCTTCTCTGCTCTAGTACCTAGTGGCTTTTGATAAGCTTTCAGGTCTGGCTTGAACTTCGCTTTTGTCTTACCCAGATGATGCATCCACCTTCATCTTAGTGATTCAAGCTCTGTGTTCACTTTGGCTCAAGAGAAGTGGGGAGTGAGGAGACCAGTGTCCACTTGGTACAAACAATAGCCAGAGCCTCCAAGAGTGTGGGGGGTGGGAGGCAGTGATTGGCCAGTCTATCACACGGTCTTAACAGGATTTTTGGTTCTCAACCTTTATTGCTTCTATTAGTTACTGAGTTGAGAGTACATCCCTGTAATGGTAGTTGGATTATTTTGCCCAAGGCAGCCATGTAAATTCCTAACCTGACTACCAGCTGTTTTTCAGTGATTGCAAGCCACTTTTGCAGTGTTGAAAGTGCAGCTTATGTTATAGGCCATTGAGGAAGCTGTTTATTGTGTCACTGGTTCTCAAGCTTCCATTTCCCCGTGAGTAAATTGCTCATCATAACTACATCATAGCTTTCAAAAATACATAGATGAAAGTCAAAATAGAGGGAGTATGTGAAGGATATGAAATATACTTGAGGAATAATGTCTTATAGTTAAGATATATTTTAACATTTTTCAGACCTTCAACTTTATAACTGCCAACAAAATAGGGAATAGATCCACTATGAGGAGAGGGAAATACCTGCGTATTATAGGCCTACTTTAATCCTTTTTAGCATTATAGTAGCCCAGAATAATTTTAAATTGATAATGTAATATTGATCTTTAATGATCTTACTTGATCATTGTTGGGAGATTAAACTGCCTTTTTTTTTAATTGGTTCTTTTTGCTGGGGAGCAGTGCATTTTTCCAGGACCCATCAGCTCCAAGTCAAGTAATTGTTTCAATCTAGTTGTGGAGGGCACAGCTCAGAGGCCCATGTGGGGATTGAACTGGCAACCTTGGAGTTATGGGCACTGCACTCTAACCAATTGAGCTAATCAGCCACCCCCTAAACTGCTTTTTAAAAAGAGGAACCCAAAGCTGCTTTGAGGAATCTAATTTATCAGAGGCCTTGGATTTGCTGCCCTGAAGAGGACCCTGTGTACGGGAATGACACTGTTGCCTGAGACACAGAAATCCTTGGAGAGACTCCCTTGTTTGTAGAACTTGCCCCTAAGAGCTAGCAAAGGTAGAAAAAATAAGGTATCTGTACAACACTATCCATCCTTGAATGGGAAGGTAGCCGCCAGACACTGGTCATTTTTCTTCACAATATTATGTGTTCATGAAGGTTACAAAAGCAATAAAATCTTAATTTCATTATAATTAGGCATGTAGATACTATAATACTTTTCTCTAAAAATGCTAAAATAAACTGAGTCTCAAAGTTTCTTAGAAATTTTTTAGTACTTAGTTTTCAAAAACATAACACATGACAACATTTGATTTTCACAACCAGTGATATTCGTAATTCAGGTGATACCCCAAATGAGGAAAAAGTTCAAACATTTAAGTGATTTTTTTTTAAATGTCTTTAACAATCCTTATTTGAAAGAAGATTAGGTTCTGGAATATATACTTCCCAACTTCTGTCACTTTTTATTGCTCCATGAAAAATAATGTCTATTGATAAAGGGTAAAAGTTGCTTATTTAGATTGCTTAGTATGTATTAGTTATTCTTTCAGCATTTTCCAATACTTAGATTAATGTATTAACTCATTTAATCCTCCCAACAATTTATAATATAGGAAATATCCTCATTTTACAAATTAGGTAACTGGTTTAGAAATGCAAAATAACTTGACCATTACTAGTTTCAGCCTAAATAAAGAAGTAAACTGAGGCAAGCTCAAGTTACGAGAGTATAGAGTTTATTCAGGAATGGCAGAGGAATTGTAATTTATGAAAGGCGTACAAGATATAGCCGAATCCATTGATGGTTTGGGGTGAGCTGTGTTTGTGGACAACAAGCTCAAAGTCGGGGAAGTCCAGCCAGAGTCCAAGCAGGAGGTTCATTGGCTGAAGAATGCGGAGGGATTCTTGGCAGATGTACATTGGTCAGGAGATAAGTTTCCATCGTCTGTAAATCAGGCATTTAGGGGAAATCAGTCTTTCAGTTCTTAAGTCCCATTCTTCTGTGGGCATGTGAATGAGATTCCTTATTTCATATCCTCCAGTGCCATTTTACATTGAAATCCTTTTTCCCTAGTTAGTGATGTAATACCTATATTAATTCTCCAGGACGTGGCTCCAGCCACTCCCCTCACTCTTCTCCAGCAGCTTTCCCCTCTACTGTATCATTTCCACCAACATACAAATAGCTTGATATCTCTCCCATCTGAAAAACAACAAAAACACCTCTCTTGACCCTACTTCCTTTTCTACACCTCTGTTTCCTCTTTTAGCAAACCTTTTTTAAAGAGTAGTCTATCCCTCGCCTCCAATCCTTGTCCCCCTTGGTACCCACAGCAGTTGTTTTTGCCCTCACCACTGTGTCTAAGCTTTCTTATCAAAGTCACCGCTTGTCTTATTAGGGATACACTTCATGGATGGTGTAGATGCCTAACCACTGTGCTGTACACCTGAAGCTGAAGCTGAATGACTCTGAATGTCAACTATAATTTAATATGTATATAGTCCCAGGATGTGGAGTACAGCACAGGGAATAGAGTCAATGGAATTGTAACAGCGATATACGATGTCAGTGGGGTAGTAGATTAGGGGAGGGGGTGATCACTTTGGAGGGATATAAATCTCTAACTATTACATGGTTTTGTACACCTGAAACTAATTTTTTTAAAAAGTCACCAGTGACCTTCAGTGCTCATTCTTAGTCTTTACGTTACTTGATTTGACATAGTTGATTACTCTCCCCTCCATGAAATCCTTTGTCATGGGGAGGGAGGGGGCCTCCAGGATATCACATGCCTATGGCTTTTCCTTACTAACCTCTTCTAGCCTCCTCAGATTTTCTGCTCCTTACCTAGTTTTAACTACTCTCCTGGACCTTTAATGTTCTAGTGACTAAAATTTCTTTTCTATTCCCGCCTGCTCCCGGTTATTGAATCTGAGGGCTCTCAAAAATCTGTTAGCTGATGAGTCCTTTCCCGAACTCCAGACTCTTACAGCCAACTCCTATCCAACTCCTTGGCTATGTAAAGGACGTCTAACCTCAACATATTCCAAATTATTCTTCTGATCTTGTCTCACAAACTTCTTTCCCAGATTTATCCATCTTGGTAAATTAAATGGAGACTCCATTCTTCTAATTGCTTAGGCCATAAACTTGTGTCATCCTTGACAATATACTTTCTCTTGTACCTCACACCGTATCTGTTAGCAAATCCTATGGATCTTTATTAAAAATATATCCAGAATCTGGACACTTCTCACTACATTTGCTGCTATCACACCAGTCCAAGCCACTATCCTATTCTCAGCACAGTAATCAGAGTGATCCTGTTAAATAAAGTCAGATATGTTACTTCTTACCTCAAATCCTCCAGTGGCTTCTGTGGCTGGAAAGAAAAAGAGGGTTCTATGGGAAGGGACCTCACAGAGTGATGTGATCATAAATTCCTAACTGCGCAGGTCATGGTGAATAGTCAAGCCCCAGGCCTATCACTTCTTCAGTAAGTTCATCTTTGCCTTAAGCAAGCCCTGTCTATTGTTCTCCAGCCTCTAGGTCAGTGGTTCTCAACCTGTGGGTCGTGACCCCTTTGGGGGTCAAACGACCCTTTCACAGGAGTTGCCTAAGACCATCGGAAAACACATATT